TATAAATATTGTAATCATTTCTTATAAATATCATTTCCTAATGTAATTTTCAAGATATTAAAGATCATAATGCAAAAAAAACTAGATTTATCAAAAGTAACAGGCTTTATGTTTCTTAAACTTCGTGCATTTATGAAAGTTCTTATGAAGTTTCAAACCGTTTCATCCTCTAGTTTTATTGTTGGAATAAAATATATCAAGACTTGCATCAAGTTTGTACCCGGTGGTCATCGGGTTAAATAGAAACAGGCTATCTCTAAATAGTAATTTGTTAAGGGCTTTTGGGCTGTAATATAACAATCCTCCATGTCCTAGTTTTAGGAAGATGAGACAAAGCCTTGTCCAGAGCCCATACAACCTATTCAGGTGGAAACTTAGCTACTGTTTATGTAATCTATAACAACTGCCTTCATGCTCCATGACAATTAATAATAAGCAAAAATATAAATGTAGATAAAACAATGTTTATGCATAAAATATGCGCATTGCTTTGTTAAATGCATCAGTATTAACCCATGTAAAATATTTTGGTGCTAACAGTAATTTATTCTTTTACCATTTGTGTTCTGGAAGCATCACTAAGTCATGTCAAATTCAATGACTTCCCCTATTTTTATCTATGAAAATAAATTCCCTGAACCAGGAACGCAAAATATAAAATTCACTGACTTTTCCCGGTTTTCTTAACCCAAACAAATCATGAATGCAGCACATACCTATGCTGGTAATGGCTCCTTTCTAAACCAGGGCTAATCACAGTACAAGATGTTAGGTCAGTTTACCACATAACAAGAAATGATTCAGGCAAAACAAGACACCAAAACCTTAACTACAAATATTCACCATGGTTAGCATGCCAGACTGTGGATTCGAGTGTCTGTAGTTTGCACCCCATTACCACAGAAAAAATAATAATTACACTCTGCACTTTGGAACCATGGTTGCATTGTTAGCATAGCCCAGGAGTTGGCATGTTGGGTGGTGTTGACTAGCTGCCTTCCCTCTAGTATATGGAAAGCTAGCACAGATAACCCTCCAGTAACTTCAAGTAAAATTCAACAATAAAAGTATATATTCAACTATTTTGCCCATCCTAATATACATCAGTTCACCATTTTTTCTAATTATCTCACAAAACAAAACATAAGTGATCCTGTAATAAAGAAAGATTTCTTCCCAGCGAACTATCCACAAGTGGCTGACATACTATATATAAGAACAATATAAAGGCTTCATACTATGTAACTATTAACAGTGTCCCCAAACCAAATTCATGTCTGGTACCATGCACATGTTCCAAATATAGTACTGGCAGTTACTATAAAGGTTATAATTGTAAGTACATCAATATTCAGTTTAATGAATGACATTGCAATGTATATTCTGGATTCACGGCAACAGATGTGTACTTGGGAAAATATTGAGTACACTCACCATCTAGGCCTCTTTATGATCAGTGAAACTTCCTAGTAGCCTAAAGATACAGCACTGAGAAAAGTATATCGATCATTTTCAAAACCAGATTATATTTCATGTGCTTTATACATTGCCTTTATTGTAATATTAGCAAGGATTCAAGACAACTAAAGATCTACACGTGAGTGCACATAAAGAATTGCTACTTACATATGAGACGGTTATCATATTTCA